GCTTAGAGAGGGCTGAAAGCCCTATGAAGTGGTATATAAGTCAAATAAATAAATAAATAAGTACTTATTTCGGGGGTTGTAAAAAAAAAGACCCTGTCTTATTTTTGAGAAAACATGATAACACACTTCTAATGTCATTATAAGCTTCTTTTTATCCATAGACAACCAACAGGACATCACTCTTGGTGTAACTGCTCACTCTCGAAAAAGGTGCTAAGCATTCCATTCATTTTCACATGTGTTACTCCTGCCATATCCTACTGTTGCTATATTCAGCAACTAATCATCAACTCCAGAGGTGGGTTTCAGCTGCTGCTACTGCCGGTTCGCTCAGGGATGTGCTGCGCACTTGCGCACGCTTCGTGTACATGCTTGATGTGAGCTACGCACATGTGCAGTGCTAAAAAATGTTTCTGCGCAAAAAATAAGATGGCAGCATTACAGTACCACCGAGAGGCTGAGTTACTACCTACTCTGCCAAACCAGTCCGAACTGGTTGGAACTCACCTCTGACCAACCCTTTGTGCAAAATATTTTATAATTAAAACATATACATTTTATATAAACAAACACATTTTTTTCTTACTTTCAAGTATTTTTGCAGAAGAGTCAAAAGCTGGCCTATATATCCCTGCCTGGCACAAAACCCTATTACACTTCCCAAAATGTGCTCATTGTTCACCCTTTGAATAAGAAGTTTTTCAAAAACCTTTCCAGATACAGTTAACAGTCTAATTTCTTTGTAGCCTTTGCATTCACTCTTGCTTTTTTTTTTGTCAAATACATAAAAAGTTAACATGTATGTTAAATAAATCACATGGCCACATCATAAACAACCCATCTTAATATTTCTAAACTTTTCCAGTTCCAATACCTATTGCCAAAATTTCACAATTTTCTAGCATACTTTCATCCATTTTTTCTTGGACACTAAGATATAAACTATTTGTTTCCATTCCACTGTTGTGATTTACTGTCTCCTTTATTTCAGCATAATTTTGTCTCCTTTTTGTCATCAAATAGTCACTCTCATTCATACTTCTACATTATTCACTGAATTTGCAACTATCATCATATTGTGGTTTCTTACTTTCATATGCAAATAGATTACACAATTAGTAATTTATAAAAGTGCTTCCAAAAGTGCTTTCCTACATTAGTCAAAAAACTTTATCAGAAAGATCGAATTTAAATGTTCCTGTTTAATTGAGGAAAGGACTTGAGTATTGTTACCCAAAGAAAAACTACATTTAGTCAATGTCGATGCACTGCTTTATAGCATATATTTTAACTCTTTCTAGAATTAAGGAGAAATTTCAAAACAGTGAGAATAATTAAACAGTAGAATGGTTTGTCTCCCAAAATTTGGGGGCTCTATGACTAGAAGATTTTAAGAAGAGATTGAACAGCCATTTATCTGAAATGGTGTGTGGCCTCCTAGTTGAGCAGGAGGTTGGACTAGAAAACCTCTAAGGTCTCCTTCCAATCCTGTTATATTCTATGTTTTATGATTAAATCTACACGTTCGCTTTCCTGCGTCCATTCCACCAGATCATTCAGAACAACTGTATCTTCTACTTTGTCTCAGATTCACAAACACAGAGCATGAAGGATAGAGCATATCCTTCTTTCATTTATAGAGTTAATTTCTGTTAATTTCATTTATGGAGTTAATTTATTACTTATTCCTTTTATAGTCCAACTTCCCATATGATGTGGTCATAGTCAGATCCTGTGGATCCTTAGATATTGATTTCTGTTGCCATCATAGCTTTGATCAGTCAAGGCTTCACATATTTTTTTAATAAAATAAAAAAGACATAGCTTAAATTACTAATTATAACTGTGTCGCATGCAACATTTCCTGTCAATGAAAAGGACACTTCCATTCAGTGGATCATGTCAAAACTGTAACAAGAACCCAGATTTAACTCAAGCATTATGATTCTATGCAACCTAGACTAACCTAAGTCTTCATCCCTCCCATGTGTGAGTACCATACAGTATGTTCCCAGGAAGTAAACATACAGAGTTTCTTCAAAGGGAATCTTCATTGATGTTACAGATAATCCTCGACTCACAACCACAATGGTCCCCAAAAGTTTTGTTGTGATTCATTGTGCTCATAAGTTGAGGTACCACGGACTCAATTTTACAACCATTTTTAGATTCGTAGGTATAAAATGAGTCACTACAATCTTTAAGTAAAGCAAATAGTTGTTAAGCAAATCCAATTTATCAAATTGGCATTTTCTTCCTGAAGCCAACAAAAATAAAAGAAGCAGACAAAAACATTGCAAATCACTGTCATGTGACTATGGAATGCTGTAAATGTGAGCCAGTTGCCAAGCATCCAAAATGCTATCACATGATCATAGGTCTTTGTTTGTGTTCCAGTTGTAATTACAAGAACATGTTGTAAATAGATTTTTTAAAAATGTTGTAACTTTGAATAGTAATTAAATGACCAGTGATAATTTAAGAACTACTGATACCTTCAGTGTAGTCAATTCAAACTTTTCAATTTCAAACATGATTGGATCTGCTAACATGAAAGAGAAATCATCTGAGCAGGACAGTAAGTAAGAGGGCTGAACCTGAAACTACAAAGCCAGAACCAATGATTATCAGTCAAGATATACAGTATAAATGTGGAACATATAAACCCCAAGATTTAAATCTGGGAGCTATAGGCATCCCAAGCTAGCATAATGACAGAGCAAAGATACACATTTAGAGAGATTACAGTGCAAATTCTTCTTGATATACTTGTGCACTGAAGTGTGTATATATATGTATGAAGTCTGCATATACACCTTGTGGATAAACAAGAATTAAACCAAATATGTATTGTGCGTATATTCTCATATTCGTGCAGTTATCAGCCTTGCTACATTTATTTTTGTCTACAGTAAATAAACCCATCTAGCCATCCTAAGTCTGTGAAGATTCTGCTGTTACTGAATGTGGGGAGAGGGATTTTTTAGATATATTTATAGCAAGTCTAATATGAAGTCTGACCAAGATTCCGCCTCCTTTCAGTTTGCAAAAGATGCTTTTTAAATCATTCAGACATCATTCCTTCTCCCAGAAGCTATAGTTAATAGACTGATTGACTCTTGCCAAAGGTATTTTGAGGTTCCTTGACAACAACAAATCATGAATTCTCTGCCTTCACAACTTTGCTATTTATACTTAGGCCAGAGCCACTAAAACAGTAGAAGCCTCTATATAGTGATGGTATGTAGAAAAAAGTCAAAATGGCAGTTGACACCATACAATTAAAACCTTACACTGTATGTCTCTGCAGTGAAATCAGTAGGATTTAAAAATGCCTAATTTAAATTTCATTGGCTTTAATTACCTTACCCTGGATAAAGAATTTATATCTATTTTACCCAAGTCTGCATTAACTAAATTTAAATACAATGGCCTCTTGTTAAAATCCTCTTTCCAAATCTATCATGGTGGTAATATAAAGAATTTTGATTTATTAGTCATTGATCTTAGAATACAGAAACATATTTCCCAATGATTTGTAAATGTCAACAACAGGAAAAACAATAATTGCAAGAAGAGTGTTTATTTATAGCCTAGTGCATAACAACCAATTAAACACAATCATATGCATAACAACCAATTAAACACAATTTAAAAAGCAGAATGTCAAAGACATTGTCCAAATCTTTACACAATAGAATTACAAATTATAATAACATATTAAAAATTAATTTAAAATCACCAGAACACCAATTTAAAAAGTGTCGTTCTGCCCCCTACTAAAATTGCTAAAGGAGAAATTTAATTAGATAAAAATCTATAAAACAATATGTAAATATAAAATATGATTCTTGCCAAGGATCATATTTTACAGCTTCACTCAGCCATGGTTCCTTTTTTTCATTATATCTGGACTGATATATTTTTAAACCTTTTAAAAATATATTAAACATGTTATGTTACTCATTTCACATTTTGATGACCACATCCCCAAAAGCTTTTTAAACTGAAGAGAATAAGGGTGTAGATGACATGGCCTGAAATAACTGTGAGGTTGCCTAACTTACCCAAGGAAGACGAAACTAAGAAAGAGGATATAAGAAAAGGTAAAATGTAGTCTCGCATTGCGTGGTTCTAAAGACCAAAAACAGATGTTTATACAGATAGTCCTTGACTTACAACCCAATTGAACTCAAAATTGTTGCTAAGTGAGATATTTGTTAAGTGAATTTTGCTCCATTTCATGTACTTACTTGCCACATTTATTACTTCAGTTGTTAATTTAGTAACAAGGTTGTTAAATGAATCTTTGCTTGTTAGAAGGTCACAAAAGGTGATCACATGATCCCCGGATACTGCACCTGTCATAAATATGAGTCAGTTGTTGAACCTCTGAATTTTGATCACATGACCATGGAAATGCTACAATGTCATAAGTGTGAAAAATGGACATGTCAATTTTTAGTGTTGTTGTAATTTTGAACGGTCACTAAATGGACTGTTGTAAGTCGAGGACTACCTGTATTAGATGGAGCCACTGAAAGAAACTACAGTGCTTAAAAGTATGGGAAAACTAAAGAATGTCCAAAAGAGTGATCTAGATCCAGGTGATGGGGGACAGAGACAAAGAGGTAAGACTTGCTACGAACTACCAGCAACTTTCAATTATAAATAAACCAACAATGGACTTTCTGAGTTTTTTTCAACTTGGGTTCAGTGGTATTCCCAAGGTAATTTGAAATATAGTAAATAATATGGACAGAGTTGACCTTTCAGGAGCTGTTGTAAGAGAAATCAGTAAAATAAACCTTGCTCTAAAAATACTGGTTTCCTCTCTTAACAATTCTGCCCTCCCAACATTTCCTCAGTTTATTATTATCACTTTTCTACTCAGTAAGTGAGTAGGTTTTCAAAATCTCAAGAAGAAAGGAGTTATAATTCAGAGATGGATAAGTGGCACCGTTGGTATTTATTATTTTTTTTGGCACCTTTTACAATAAATTTCCAGATATCAGCAGGATATTCTCTTGGTGAGCAAAAGGGGAGGGATCAGCATTGTCACTGAAGCCAAATCAAGTGTAAAATAGTTTCCAGCCAGACTGTTAGAAACTTCTCAGCTGAAACTGTCTGCTATAAGAAGGAAGTGGTGAATCCAGTACAGCTAAGTGGCAACATGTCTGAGTTTCAGCAGCTGATCCAGAACACCTTACCGTCTGCCAGAGATGTTCTACGAGAGAACTATAGCAACCTTCTCAAAGTGGCAGATTTTTGTGACAGCAACTATGAGCAGGTGAGTTACAGTGGGAGAGAAGCCAAGGACAGACTATCTTGAGCTGGCATAGAGAGAAACTCTAGAGTACCTTGGCTGGGGCAACACTGTATCTGGGCTAGGTTCTCAGGCAGCTGAAGATGTGTGTAGGGGGAAATGAAGAACATCATGAATCTATATGGGAAGTGGTCAATGTGGAGCTGAGACTTTCAGTGTTCTCTATAGCTAATATAAATTGGGGAGACTGGTGGCAATGAACAAGGAACTGAAAACACCTAAAGCAAGGGTAGAAAAATTGTAGTTTTTACCTCCGTCTTTCTGTGGCTGATATAGTTTCCAGAATAATGACTCAAAGATGCACTGCCAAGTTTGGTGACAAATCACAAATTTAAGCAATGCAACATTTTATTTTTTTTTAAAAATAAAGATTGAAATGAGCATTTTTGTGTGTCTATTTTGCTTTTTCCAATACCATCCCAAAACTAGATAAAATTTTTGGTCTTGCTTCTTTCCGTAATATCACTGTATTATTGCCATAACTCTCAGAATTAAAAGATTTTGATTCCTGGATGTCTGCCCCAAGCTAATGGATGACAGGTTGGAGAAAGATGTTATAGATAATGTTGAAATAGTTTGCTCAAGGCCTGATAAAAGGGAATTTTCTAAGGTTTATAAATCCATAAAGTATTGCCGAACATAAACAATCTTTTGACATTCTCTACTTATCTGTAGCTAATGAAATTGTATATGAGAGCAGGAGGGGAAGAGAAATTTCCCAAGCATTTTTCAAGAACAGAAGTCTTCCTCTTAGCAGTAATAGTAACATTTATACTGCAAGTTTCCATTGGAGCAGTTGTCTCTTAATGTCTTCCCTTCAGATTTATTGAAATACGGGAAGGTCTGAAAACTGATGGAGATGATGATATAAAGAAAACATGCCCTGGCCATGATATGTAATTAATAGCTGAAATATCCATCACCACATTGATTGCCAGGGTTGATTTGGCTGATCTGGCTGGCTAGATCTTTCCTTCTTCATCACTCCCTTATGTGTCCCTTCCAAAGCGACACGCTCAGTAGAAGAGGGCAACCATCTCAGATAGGGGTGAACCGATTCTCGGCCTCCAATATATACAGTGCAATACTATATTTGTGGAATGTATTTGAGACTATACTGCATTCTATTGCATCTATAGTTAGTCACAATGATGCCAAAATATTGAACTGTGTGTCGTGATGTCAGGACACAAGCCTTTCATAGCCCATTTCAATATCATAGATAAGTATGAAAGATAAGGAGTCAGCATCATCCATCACTCCCCCTCTATTTGACCTCTGTGTGGAGACTGGACAGGTTGTGGAACCCGATGATCATTCAAATCCCTAATAATCCTTATTTGTAATAATACAAAAATGTAGAAAACAGGTACAGCATGTCCCATGGACATTATATTTCATTAAGTCAGGTTAGAATTTAGAAGTTAATGTTTGTGTGAGCCAGCTACTCTATACTCGTAGTTGGAAATAATTGCTCTCTTCAAATTAGGAGTGTTATCACACAGAATAGAACAAACACTTATTTTATTTTCCCAGGCAGTATGACAATGTTTTGACAGATAGGAGAATACATGTTGATTGAAGACTGGGAGTCATTAAATAACGAATGGTATTATACCAATGAGAACACTTTATAATGATGATTATGGTTTAAAGCAGAGGTCTCCAACCTTGGCAACTTTAATGCTTGTGGACTTTAAGGCTGGCTGAGGAATTCTGGGAGTTGAAGTCCACAAGCCTTAAAGTTGCCAAGGTTGGAGACTCCTGGCTTAAAGTCTCTTCCAGCTTTGTGATTTCAAATAGAGTACAATTGTCATACTTTCTATCCAATATAACTGATTGGACCTGCAGCCTGGGGCTATAAGAACCCTACTCCTGTCCATCTAAGATCACTGGGCTGGGTTATGTTGGAGACATAACTTTTTGTTTTTCATGGCTTAATATCAATTATAGACTGGGCCATCCAGCTAAAGTTCTGCCCTCCCTTCCTGATACCTGTCATACTTGAGGAGTATTCAGCAGGAATTCAGTTTCATATGTTTCTATTGTTCTGCTAACTTACATAATTGTCTCTCATCCCCTTCACATTCCTTTCTAACTTATAGGCTCAAGATAAAAGAAAAGCCCTAGAGGAAACCATGACTTTCACAGTTCAGTCATTAGCCAACGTGACCTATCAAATCAATAACCTAGCCAGAAACATCCTCAAAACATTTGATTTGCAGACCACTCATCTCCAACAAGTGGAAGCCAACATTTGTTCCATTGAACAGGTGAGCAAGAATCCTGCTTCAACAGACACTATGAAGATACTATGTAGAAGATACATTTGGGGTTGGATCAGTTTTTTGAAATTCTGGTCATTTCCCTTGTTGGTAGCTTCTGTGGTTGGCATGAGAAGTCTTGTCCGCACTTATTGATTCCTCCTGCAGCCGCTTCCAAAGTCTTAGTTTTGTAACATCCAAGCTTGTAGCATCCAAGGTAAATCTCAAATCTCTATTTTTGTAAGTATCTTGGCATTATTGGGAAATACCATAACTGGAGACTTTGACAAGCTGTCAAACTTCGGGATCTTCCAAGTTCAACCTGGTATCTTCAATCTGGTATTTTCAGAATTCTCATTTTTTTCCATCCACATATCAGCCTAGTACGCTTGCAAGAAAGTAAATAAAAGTTATCTTAGCAAAAGAAACAACTCAAATCCTTACATAATTACACTTGAATATTATATATATATATATATATATATAAAGCCTGAATGTCCAATGGGTCCTCAAGTCACATGTAATGTAGATGACAGGTAATTGTAAGATTAATATCAGCAGGTCCTAGGACAAGTTATTTTGTGATTGGCCTTGTGATATTTGTTTGCATGCCATTTAATTGTATGGTTATTTCCCCAATATAAGTGGTTTGTTTCCTATTGTTGGATTGCTTTCTATTGGATTTATGTTTTATCTATTTTTAAAATTATATTATCTATAACTAAACTTGCTTTGGCCTAAGAAGATCAATAAAGTCATCAAATAAATCGATTAAATTAAATACAAATCTTCCCTTACATAGTGCCCCACCAAATGTCTCAGATTACAATGCCTTCAGTCACAAGCTTGGTGACTGGGGAATTGTAAGAGGTGTGACTGCCACACCAGGAGAGATTTGAAGTCGGTGAATATATGGAGAACAGAAGCTGCATTGTCCATTTCTTTCAGGAAATTTCCTTGCCCTCTGAGTCACTGCTAAGCTCAAAAAGCAGACACATCCCTGGATTTTTTGAACCAAAGGATTCCTTTCTCTCCTCTTCTTACTGAAAGTGTATCTATGCCTGTTCCCAGCAGATATCAGATCCCTCTTCCTGTTACTGGACTGGGACTAGGGACCTGCTTGATGGTTTTCCTGTTTCCTAAGAACAAAAACAAAATAAAATAGAACACATGTGATCAGGAAGCATAAGTGGGATGGATTAATCATCTGTACTATTTCACTTGCTTTATACTTTTATATAACCAAGGGAGTTATGTGCAGTGTGTGTGCGTGTGTGTTTGTTTGGAGAGAATAACTTCAATGGTCAAACTGCAGTTTGAGTTTGTTGAAGCTGGCTCCCAAAATTTGCTTTCTAAAAATTGTGCATAAATCAGATACAATTTTCTTTTGCCTGCAAGTCTCTCTTGGACAAACCTCCCCCCTCCCCCGATTTTAGAATTAATTTGTGTTCATAAAGCAAGACAGTGGCTTTTGGCTCTTCTAGGTTTACATTGTTTCTCCCAGATTATCATGCTCAGAACCTGAGGATTGTGCATTTAGATGATGATTTAGCAGCCACAAATATTTTCTTTCAGTTTAACAGATAGAAACTAAATGAAATGTTGAAAAAAAAATCAAGGTTGAGGTTCAATCCAGCCTGGGATCCTTTTCTTGCTTTCCAACCTGAAGGTTCACTTCCTAATTCAGATGGTTTTTCAAGCAGAACTAGACACAATAGTATCATTTGTGCTGGCCAAATGATGTGGTATGTAATGATAGAACAATTTAGGTATTCCCCCCCTCCCCCATCCCTGAGAGATGGGAAACTGGTGGTAAGAGAGGAACTATGGACCAGTCATCTCTGGTTCAAATCAATTTAAACAGCAGAAAAGAGAAGTTTCTTTCTACCAAATGAGACTTGTTCCATCCCTCACAGTATTGTTTGCATTGACAATCAACAAGTAGCTGAGTTCACATATTACACGGAACCACATTTTGCATAACACATCACGCCATGAGCTTTTAGTTACAAATAACAAGGGTAAGGCTCACACAATATGCTTAACCAAACAAATGGTATAGCAGTTATTGCAAAGTGAGAATATGCTCGAGACCATATCTCTGTGATGGCGAATCTATGGCACACATGCCACAGGTGGCACGCGGAGCCCTCTCTCCGGGCACGCAAGCCGTTGCCTAGCTCAGCTTTCACCGCACATGCGTGCGCGCCTCCCACTGGGCAGCTGATTTTGGGGTCTCTGCTATGTATGTGTAAATCACACACACATACATGAGGGAGTCACGCACGCATGTGTGAGGCCAAAGGGTGGCACACGCATACCTGGGGGCTGTGAGGGGAGCACGGGGGGGGGTGCAGAGTTCTTCTTGCACCCCGTTTTTGGTTCCAGGAGGCTTCAGGGAGGCCTGCTAGGCCCAAAATGGGGCATGGGGGGATGCACATGCGCAGGGGTCAGTCCGGTGTGTGTGTGTTGTGTGCACATTGCACTATGGGTGCGGGCACACATGCATGCTCTGTCATGCACACANAGATAGATAGATAGATAGATAGATAGATAGATAGATAGATAGATATTGATTAATGAAGAAATGCTTCCCAGGTCCTTATCTTGGCACTATGATGGAATTCAAGAAACGGTTGGAGGATTTTCTCTTTCATAAGAATCTCATCTCAATAGTGCCAAATGCCTCCTGGCTTTTAACACTTCCTTGCAGAAGCTCTGCAGCTTTCTAGTTGCTTCCTGGTGGTTCAGTAATAAAACTACCTCTGTCTAGCAATTCTGAAAATTTAATATTTGCCACAAAGAAGCCCATCATCTGCTTGCTTTAAACCAGGAGTGTCAAACTCACAGCCTGTGGGCCCACGCCCATGCCCAGTTTAGCGAATGGGGGGAAAGTCATCATACATCACACAACGAGGCAACGACAATGCAAGTTTAACACCCCTGCTTTAGACTGTCTCTCTTTTTGGAGGAGCAGGGGCTCATCGCTATGTAAAGTGCTTGGATACATCTTTTAGTGTGAAATTCAGGATACCATGACAAGCTACTGGCAAAAGAAAAAAAGAACAGAATCCAAGTGATAAAATAGCCATTGCTTTGGAATATTTCTATGTACTACACCAAATTGTTCTTGCAGATTTTTCATCTTGTACTTGTAATCTCTCTCTTTTAGGATCAAAGCACACAGCTGGCCAAAACAGGGACTCTATCAAGGCGATCAATCAAGTCTTCGGCTGGGCTGTCACCTGGAACTGTTGGGTGAGAATGGATCAGCTAATAGCAGGAGCAAACAAATAAACCCCCACTGAGTTAAGGCTGCTATGGCCACCTATACTACTTATGCAGGATAATCATCTAATCAATGATATTTTATTGTTGACAATTTATTTTATTTATTGATCAAATTTGTATAGCAGCCTATCTCATCAAAAGCAGTTCTGGGCAGTGTACAGCAAGTGGATAAAACAACAAATATAAAAATGTTTAAAAGATATTATAAAAACAAATATAAACTCTACACAAAGAAGACAAGAATAAGCTACCTCAGCAACGGAGGCATCTGACACTTTTTTATTTGAAAAAAAAAATTGTATCTGATTTAAAGGCAAAGCAATCAGGGGACTTTGAAGTAAGCAGCCCTGCAGTAGATTCCAGCAACATCTGCAAGGAGAGGTGAAGCTCAGCAAAATGATGCAAGTCCTTCCCCTTTTCAACATGTGGATCACAAGGGGCAGGACTTGTATCCCGCTGCTCCATCCGCCATTAGGCAACCCTTGCCTGAAGATATTTGTAGCATATAAACATCTTGACATCCTTCTTTACGATGGGTAGCCATTCTGCTCTTTAATCATTCCTTCCAAATAGTGCATAAATGAGAAGATGTAGAAATATAATGTAAAAGTATGTCTTATCAGCACAATGAACAACTATACTGTGGGTATAGTTGGGTATTATTCTGTGATATTATATATATATATATATATATATATATATATATGTGTGTGTGTGTGTGTGTGTGTGTGTGTGTGTGTATGTGTATGTGTATGTGTATATATNCCAGGAGGCTTCAGGGAGGCCTGCTAGGCCCAAAATGGGGCATGGGGGGATGCACATGCGCAGGGGTCAGTCCGGTGTGTGTGTGTTGTGTGCACATTGCACTATGGGTGCGGGCACACATGCATGCTCTGTCATGCACACACAAGGACAAAAAACGTTAGCTATTACTGCTCTATCTAGAGAGCTGCTTTCTTTGCCTTCCTCAGAGATATTTAAGTAAGCCCCTAGGATGTTCTCACTGCTTCCCAATTTCCTTGGTTTGCAGACTGATGCAATCTCATTATTACTTAGTCTCTAATTAAGAAATAATGGCCAGATTTCAGTCCTAGATCCTATAATCCTGTTTTGTTATTAATAGAATTTTCTCATTTAATTTTTTTTACAAGCAATAGCTCACATTCATGAGCTCAAACTGATGATGAATGTACATTCTTACTTAGGAGCTTAAGGAATATTTTGCTGGATGAAAAACAGGTCAATATTCCTTCTGGTATAGCCTATTTTATAAGCTGAAGTACTATATGTTCCATCAGGGTTGAATAGTACTGAGATAGCCAACCTCTGCTTCTCCTAAGTATTGAGTGGCGATCTCAGTGACCCTCAATTGCTGAATTGGAATATATACTATGAAAGGAGGGGGGGGGGGAATAATTAAATTCAGGGCAAGTAATCATATGAACTACATTGTATCAATGTAAATTAAGTCAAATATAATATTTGTGCTGGCTCTGCATGCTTTATTTGTTTGACTTGCTCCCAAAGCTAAGTCCAGTTTTGCTCTGAAAATGATTGAACATTCATCAGATTATTAATGGATCTCTTTCTATCTTTTTGAATAATTTCCAACACGTTTTGTTGACAATACTCTGGAAGTGATTTGCATTACTTTCTTCCAAAGGCTGAGAAATAGTGACTAGCTCAAGATTACCCACCTGGTGTCCAGGTTGGGTCTAAAACTCCTATTACACCAAACTGGCTCTCAACATTGCTTATAATTTGTAATATTATTATACTAATAATTTCTACATGCTCCATTGAATTTTAAACAAAACAATGGATGCAGCATGCAGTGAAGTCTTCTCAAACTTTCCAGATATGATGGGACACAATCCCCAGAGTTCCCAGGCAGATTGGTCTTCTGAGAGTTATAGCTTTTATTACAATTGGAATTGTAATAAAAGGATGGAAAATCTGATCTAACAGTAGAAAAGGAATAAGGAATGGGAGGGAAACAATAAAATTTGAGAATGGCTGCTGCTCTTGAAGTAATTTTGCTTTGTTCATGGATTTTCACAGTAAATCAAACAAGGTCATCCTCCAGTTATAACCTTTCCGCGACAGGCTCTGCCCTTTTTTCCTCCCATAAAAATATTATTTGAGAATTATTTGGGATAGGCTGACATGTTGGTGTTTACTGCAGAAGTGGGATTCAAAATTTTTTACAACCGTTCTGTGGTTGTGGCCGGAGAAGGATACTGCAAAATCCCCATTCCCTCCCCACTCCTGGGGGAAGCTTACTGGAACATCTCCATTCCCTCCCCACCCCACTAAACCTGCTTTCCAGCTCCGTTCTCCTGTTCAGGGCAACAAAAAAGATCAGCTGGGAGACTGGGAGGCAGCAGGGGCGGGGCCAGCCTATTTGCCGGTTCTCCGAACTACTCAAAATTTCCGCTACCGGTTCTCCAGAACCTGTCAGAACTGGCTGAATACCACCTCTGTAGCAATGAATTCCATCTGATCTAATGATGTGAACTTTGTTTTTCCTGTTACATTTCGGCCAGCTCTGTTGACCAGTGCTACATGTTAACTCTCTTGGGAAATCAGCTGCTGATGCTTCCCATTATGTCCTGCCAGACAAGTTTTCTCCTTTCTCATGATATCTTTCTTTTTCAGGTTATAGAAATGCATAAGGAGAAAGTGTCCCGTCGTGAAATTGGGATGCTTACTGTTTGCAAGACCTTTCCTCCCTATCAGAAAATCATCTACCCAAAGAAACTTGAGCCTTTGCAGCCCTATTACAGGAAACCACTGGACTTCAACACTCTGGATGACATTGGCCATGGGATCAAGGTAAGAAAGGGACACTCTCCAATTAAAAAATGAGATGCTTTAGTCTTCCCCTCTGTTAAAAAAGACAAGACTCCCAGATTTGGGACATCCTATTGACCCTAGTAAGTGCAGCCAGTGCAAAGGATTGTGGGAATAATAGCCAAACAGTTTTGAAAGTTGTGCTCATACCCTGGGCTGCTGAGTCATGAAAAATCATGACTGATAATTGAACAGAGATATTGCACCTATAAAGTAATAACATCAAAGACCCCTGGAAATCTGTACTGAAGAAGACACTAATTCCACAGATGTCAGTTATTTGTCTCTTCTTTTCTACCACAATAATGTTTTAATATGAATTCTTTTCATTGGGCTTTTTAGTTCCCCATGCTGACAGGAGAATTCTGGGAGTTGAAGTCCACATAGCTTAAAGTTTCCAAGTTTGAAAAAAGCACGTTCTTATGTATACGAGTCTTTCCTTGTAGTCTTTCCTTCTAATTTTGGTACCTATTGGTACATATTCACTGGAAGGACATTCTGTCCTTCCCTTAAGGTTACATTCAGTGCTAACCTCAATTTGCTTTGTAGAACTTTTATGGACTGTATTATAGCAAAATATTGGTTTCTGTCAAGTTTATTTTCTGAATCTTTAAATGGGAAGAAGAATAGTTCTAGACCACAAAAAAGCAAACTGCCCCACCTACTCCCCAAGCTACAGAAGACATATCTGCTTTCTCCAATTTAGTGAGATTTCCTCTCAGAAGAAATTGTGGAGGGAACATATATATGACCATCAACAAATATGTGGCTTTCAGAATATTAAATAAATTTGGCAGTTGTCCACAGAAGAGGCCTTTGAAAATGTATGCCTGATTTAGCATCAGATCTGCTAAGCATCATCAGAAATAAGGCATGTAACTAGGTCTTTTTATTAATAGATTTGGGTGTGCTGACCCATGTGGTACAGCTTTGCTCTTGAAAAGAAGAAGATTCTTTCCCCACCCAAGAATTTGATGACTTACATAGACATAGAAATTCAACAAGAGACAGTGTGTCTCCAAGCACTTCCTCTGTGGAAAAACGTATGTGCTACTAAGCCATTACTCTCTTCCTCCTTCAACACAAAAGAAAAAAAAAGTTAGGCGTAATAAGAAAAAGCATAAAAATTTAGAACAGGACTAGGCAACTTATTGAGACATTCAGTACAAGCAAAGTTTGAATCCATGTCACGGATGCTGGCACAAAATGGCTACTATTGGTAGACATCCCTTTTCCAAAATGGCTGCTCTTATAGGCACGGACAACTTAATGAAGTAATCCCTCAACAATTCCCCTACCAAAGAATCTCTACCATTCTAGTTTGTCTTTTACTCTGTCAGATGGACACACTTCCAAACATACCACATAGCTGTAGCCAGACATCAGTTTATTTTTGAAGAATGCTTTTGGAGCTCTTAGGAAGCCCTAAAGCATTTTTGGAAGCTAAAATGTTAGGTTTATATAACTTTAAATCATGAGAGGAAAAAACTTAGTAGGCATCCAGGAGCATATCTGCAGATGCATTGGTGTCCATAGGCATCATGCTGCCTCTTCCATCAAAAATTACAAACACTGTTTGTACTAGATTCATTCTCCTTTGTAGAGAGTGATTGTACCCTCAGGAAGCCATTCCTCTCTAGATAATTTTCCATAGGTAAAAAAGAATAGAGAAGATCTACTCTCTCTCCATCGATTTTCCATTATCTCTCCTCTCCCTCCCTTTCTTCCCCCCTATCAAATTTCTATGTTGCCTATCAAAAATATATGACTCGGGGAAGTTTACAAATAATAATCATAATCATGCTTGTGGAATTTGTTGGATAATCTTGATATGGAAGATGTTTTTAAAAGTTTCATCATCATAAAAGTTTATTGTTTAAGATTTCCATATAGGATTATCAGTAAGTAATGAGCAAGGAACTGATTTTAGTCATGAAATTTTAAAGACTATGATTAACCCCTCATAACCTATTAATCCTCCACATATATTCTACATATTTCAAACATTTCTTCTCCTTTTTCCTCCCCACAAGTTGGAATACAGTTCTAAATCAGGATCATAGGACTCCCTAATCTGGTGGCCCGAGTAGATATCCAAGTTGCAAAATAAGATGTCCTTTCTTCCTCCCCATTTTGCAAACTACTTTGAAGAAAAAAAGTGGGGCTGTGTTGGTAACTGGGGTTAGGCATTGAGACTGAACTGGAAACCACATGTGCCTGAAACTGATGAGACAGAGACATTTTGAACAGAGAGGAAGCAGAGCACAACCTCTTTCTCACCACGCTTCTGTCTCATTTCCCAGTAGCATTGTCGTCATTTGAAACTCTGCTTCCACTCAAAGAGTTTGTGGCCTTTTAGCTTGCCCTGATGATAAGCAATGCTTCAATGCAGCCAGCAGAGCAGCTGGAGAAAGACAAGAAAATCATCTATATGGAAAGAAAGCTGCTAACTTAGCAATTGCATATCGCTAAGTTGGAAAGAAAGAAAGAACTATTAAAACAGGTGCAATCAAGTGAGTGGCTCAGCAGATAATGGCAACTTCTATGGGTAGGTAGACTAATGAAATCTTAAAGAAAGGGCAAGGACTTTAACTTAACATGAAGAAAAATGCACCTGAGACAGAGAAACCAGTTTTATCTGCTGTGGTTAGCTTGCAAGCTACATTCCCCTTTGCCATATTCATGTAGCTAACCATTGATGATGTATTTACATTAACTGGAGCCAATTTCAGAAAAGCACAGGACTTCATTTTAGCAAATCACTTTATACTTTTATATAGGACAGAAATATTTATTTTATTTGTGACATATATAAAAAATGGCATTCACCAGCAGGCCTAATTCAATTTGAATTGGAGACTTAAGATTCAGATAAGGCATGACACTATTTGCATTTGTAGTTCTGTAGGAAGTTATCACCCAGCCCTCTCCCAGAAAAATGAAATATCCTAGGAAATATTGAAAAGGCAGAATATTTCTCTGGATGTGAAAAGGAAGAAACATGTTTTAAAAGACAGAATAGCTCCCTGTAGCTTCCTGCCCATCCCCACTTTGTCAATGGGCCATTAAGAAGGCCAAGCTAGTCCACTTTTCATAATAAAGAGTTCTCCCCTTCAGCTCCAGGGGGATGGGATTAAGGCATGATAATACTGGCCTTTACCCAACTCGCCACATGGCATCTGAGAACTCAACCAAACCTGGATTCAAAACGCAGTCTAGAGAGTTGCCCCTGCATGGCTCCATGGGAGTCTGATAACCCATCAGAATACAAGATCAAGATCAAAGGCCAGAGGGACTCAGGGACTCAGCATCTCAGTTGGCCCTTCTCTTTTCTCCCCCAACATTGAAGCATGTGATTACCTTTTCTGTTCAGGACTCAAGCCATGTGGTCCTGTCCACCAATAAACCATCTTTCCAAGCAGCCTCCATGTCTCCATTGTCTTTTTCCCCACTTGGAGCCGAACCCAGAAGGACATTTCTTTCAACAGTTCAAGGCAAACCAATTTGACTTGGACTTTTTTGAGAGATAATATTGATGAGAAACATATCTTCATCCAAATTGCCCATAAAGGGACTAAAGGGTTATCCTCTCATCTCAGTTACTACAATCAGTTCTCAGATGCCATGTGGCGAGTTGGATACAATCAATCTTGATAACTAGTTTTTAACGGACATAATCACATAATGTTGTTTTCATCTCATTCTCAGTCAAACCAGAGTATTTTGGGAACTTCTAGTGTGAAGTTCCCAAACTAGAAGCATTCCTTCTTATCCCAGAAAAAAACTTGCCACAGGTACTCTCTGGAATACCTTAGTGATGAGTCTGGGAATTATATAGCCAATGACTGCTTCTGTCCCTCTCTCTCATTCAGTCATTAGACACTCCCCCTTTGTGTCCATTGTAACTTGGTCTGACGAAGAAAATACCTACCTGCTTCCTGTGCCCCCCACTGCCCCATAGTAATTTCAGCCACTTGAGTGATCTGCACTACAAAACAGATTGATGTACTCATGAAAAAACACCTTCCTAAAAGAGATATTGTTGCGAAAAAGAACATCCTGCCACAACACAATTGATGTCAGCGCAATTTTCTGCTGAGTCAAGGTTGGGAGGAAAGAACACTGAAGCAGCAGCCTGGATAAGCCTTATGTTGCACTGAATTAATGCAGAAACTGTTCCACTAAATAAAATACCTTTAAGCGTGTTCAAAAAGTAAAGCCTTTTTAATTTTCTGGAGTCCAGGTTTGGATAACATTGAAATATGATCACTGGCTGGTCTTTGTGGATTGGCATAGATTTGCAACCTCTGCTCACTGGATTTTGTGGAGTGCCAAGACAGATGGCATAGTAGCCAGTAAGCTGGCTACCTTAGCCCCTCATAGGAATAAGCCCTGAGCCATATGTTTGACTTGGTTGTGTGGCTTGTTGGCAATGCTCTGTGTTGGCAGAGGCAGCAGGGGCAGGCTGAAAGAAAATGCCACAGAGATAGGCAGCCAAGGAGAAAGAGGCTGGCACACACAAAAATGGTATCAGTAGACTTGCCACTTTTTGGTTTTTAAGACAAATAACATATAGAGCAGTACCTTTAAGTCTTAGCTTGGTACCCGTTCTCTCATTCTTGAATTGTATATATGTAAATCATTCAAAAGTTAAATCTAAGACGTGACATAAATATCTGAACAGTCTTGAGACAATATTTTAAGTGCTAAGAGCTGAATTTTAATGTTGACTTATGTTGTCAAGGTCAGGATACAAGAAAAAGCAGACTTAGGACTTGAGAACTGAAAAAATAAATGAAACCAAAAGCAATGTTAGCCTTATCACTGAAAAAATAATAATCCTAGCACTGAGTTTAATGAAGTGACAAATTGTATTTGCTGCTGGTTATCTGTATCTAAGACTGCTTCACATCATTCAGCTGTCCTTCCCAGCATCCTCAATATATGGAAGTAAACTTGCAAAATTACCTATTGACTGTAAT